AAACCCCCCCTTACAAACCCCAAACCCCCCCCCCCCCCTCCCTTACCGGACCCATTCTACTATTCACTATTCTTTTTTTCTATAACTCTGTGTTACCTAAAACCTGTTTGATGTCTGGGTTAGAGCGGAGTTTCAATATGCAATATGTGTTCTGACCTTAGCAGAGGGTCCAAAAACAGTTAATTTGTATTAAACCTTAATCAAAATCAGCAGGTGCAATATGAGTGCATATGCTTAGTTTACAAGTGTATTGTCATTCTAAGAGTTGTACACAAGATGATTGCAGTGTTTGCTGGGGGAAGGTGGGAATGTAGATGGGAGGGGGTGGTGAGAAAATGGGGATTGAAGTAAGTTGGTTGTTGATAGAAGGGGCGGTGCAGGCAAGGTGGATGGTAAGGTGCAGTAGATGGTAAAGGAAGGGAGGATGTAAGTTTCATGGGTGTTGCAAGAAGGTTCAGACGCACTGGGTGTTAAAAAAAATAAAGGCAGGGGTGTGTTGTATTCGGAGATGATGAGGGTGATTTGGAAAGTGCGGGGGATGTTGTGTGATGGGGGGGCACACTAAGTTACATTGGAGGAGGGGGATAGTATGTCGGGGAGGAATAGAAAAGGGGGTGCAGATACCGCGGGGCATCGAGATGTGGGGGGCTGCAGCCACAGTGCAAGAGGGGTATTCGGCTGAGAGCGCAGTGTGTGGGTGTGTGTGTGTGTGTGTGTATAGGGGTAGATTGAGTGATGGCATGGCAGGGGGCTGGCTGACATTACAGCAGGTTGGTTGGGCAATAGTAGAGTAGAGTTGGCTGACATTGCAGGATCGGGGGGTCGGGGGATAGTTGGCTGATTTTACAGGAGGGAGGGTTGAGTGATAATGGGGTGGGGTATGGCTGACATTGCAAGAAGGAGTTTTGGTGGAAAGCAGCTACAGAGATTCAGCCAGCCTGGATGCTGATAGGGAGTTCTTCCTCCCTGCATAGAACCTGCCCCTTTCTCTGCTCATGTGCTGGAGATGATAACAACAGGGATAACAGACTGCCTAATGGAAAACAAAACTGTTCTGAGAAAACAAAGCTGTAACGTAGCTATTAAATTATTAAGGATTGTGAACACCAATTCGGTTTATTTTTCTGATTTTGCAGACACTTGTGCTCTATGCGCTTGGTGTTGTTCTTCAAGACAGCACGACCTGGCCATCTTCATACAGGTATGTGATTCTGCTTCTCATTCTCCAATTAGTTTTGCATTAAACTCCAAGCTGCGTCTGGGTATTTTGATGTCAGCATACAATAGAAGCAGCCCCCAGGTTGAATGAAAAAAAATAGACCTGTGCATACCCTACTTTAGTAAATACTTTCAGAATAATTCCTAAGTGGCTTCCAGTGCTTTAGTATAGGACACTATGAAGTCTTATTTATGTGGTTTACTTATCAAGAGTATATCCAATTTGAAGAATTTATCTAAAGTGTGGCAGGGGTTGTCATGGTGAAGGTGAGGGCTGCTGAGGCGGTGTATATTACTGATATCTCTCCTGTGTGTTTTAAGAGATGGAAGCATGTCCAATTGATGGATAAAACTATCTCCATAACCAAAGCTGAAAACAAGCTTTTTTTTCTGCCCAATGTTATTTCAAGGAGGGGGGAGAGTATGGGCCATCTCCTTGCTATTATAGCTAGGTCCCAGCAAGAATCGAATTATATAGATACCATTCAAACACAGGCAGACGTAGTGACCAATAATTTGGTTGATATTAAATACTTTTCAAGAGTTCTATAAGGATGCGTATAGTACCAGGACATCTTACCCCTCAACTGATCTTTTGGGTTTTCTTGTGTGTCTAGGCATTCCTCAGCTTCGGGCTGATGATGATTGGGAGATGTTAAATGCCCCTCTTACTGTGCAGAAGTTACGGGTTGCGGTGGCCACTGCCCCTAATAGCAAAACCCCAGGACAGCATGGCCTTCCGATAATATGGGCAGATTCTGTTAACCAAACTTTTGACAGTTCTCAAAAAGGCTTATGATGAAGGTTTCCTTCATTATTCCATGAATGAGGCTATGATTATGTTTTGCCCAAGCCGGTCAAAGATCCATTGTATCCAGATTTATACAAGCCCATCTCACTTCTGATGTTAAGATACAAGCTAGGGCTCTTGCTATTTGGTTAGCCAAAGTTACCACTTCTCTGGTGCATGTGAACCAATCCAGATTTAGTCCCTCTATATCTACACCACCCTCCCTGGAGCTCTTTACTCAAATTCTGAGGCTTCTTTTTGTGGCGAGAAAGTTGATGGCTTCTAAATGGTTATCCCATAATCCTCCTACTCTAGGGGAATGGCTTACTCATGTTAATCTTATGCTGCCAAAAGAAAAATTGGTGTTATCAACACAGTGGTTGCCTACAAAAGTTCTCAAAGTTATGGGACCCATGGCTAGTGGCACCTGGTTTGGCTCCTCCTGCAATGGTCATCAACTCAATAAAGATTATTGTATGATTAATAAAGATTAATATTTTGTATGTGGTGGGTTTATACTTGTATGCCCAATTGGGGTGGATAAGCCTCTTCTACTTTGTTTTGTCTGTGAACTCATCATTGCTTTTACCATGGTATTACCGATAGTTGATGATTCTCGTTGACTGACCCCATGCGTTTCTATTTACCTTTCTGCTGGTACACTGAGGGGATTGTATAATGTTTTCAATAATGTTGCACTACTCTGCCATGCTGTACTAGTATGTTAAGATTTTGTAATGGATGCTGTTACTTCATTTCATTCTCCTGCTTATATTTTTGCACCATTACTGATGCGATTTTGTCATATGTATGCTGGATGAGACCATTGTGTTTTAAATGGTGCTTCTTTATTTGTTTATTATTATGAAAAACATAAAACTTTAATAAAAACAAAATGTGATTTAAAAATAAATTAAGAATGACCTTTTTATAGCTATAAGGGCTGCATGTAAGGGCCTTGAAATTACCTGACAGTCATGTCAGCTTGCCAGATTTGTTTGACACTTTTCATTGGCTAGTCTAATAACTTATTCTTCCGAATGAGCTGCACTTTTGAAATGCCTAGATGTCAAATTATTGTCATATTATAGTAATGTTTTCTATGTGGTGTTGGGGTTTTGTTTACTCTGCAAAAAATTATTTCACATGCTCGTATTTAGGTAAATTGTAACAGAATTCTGATTAGCTAAAATATATATTGTATTCATTCAGGTTCAATCCAGACAGATTTGAAGAAGAGTCCGCTGGACAGAACCTTTCTTTGCTGGGCTTTTCAGGAAGTCAGGAGTGTCCAGAGCTTAGGTAAGAATATAATACACATTGACACTTGTCCAGTTTTATTGCATTGTAGTTTAATTTACAGTGTAAGCCAATTAACATGTTTTATTTGATAACATTCCTGAAATGTAGACAACAGGACAAAAGTTTAGTGTGCACACCTTTTGAATAATTTTTTGTAGAATGTATCTAAAAGTATTTTATGATGTGGCAGTATTTTAGATAGAAATTTGTAAATTATTTATCTGGTGATGATGTCCAACACAGCCTCCCTGATGAACAACCACAAAGTTAAATTGAAAACATTATATTCTCTGCGTGGCTCATGTTGTAGGTCAGTCATTGTGAGGAGACTAAAGTAGGCCATACACTGGTGAGCTGAATGAGAAACAACGATCCATTCCCCTGCCATGCTATTGTATTTTCCAAAGAAACACATTTAAGAGGCGCTGGGGTTTCTGTGCTTATTCAAATCATTCAGACACAGGAAAGTTTGCAAATATACTGGCTTTGGTAAGGCATCTCCCAAACAAGACAGGCCTCCCTTGTTTGGTACCCAGAAGCAACTCAATGTTAAGAAATACATGGTGCTAAAGCAAAAAGTGCAAAAGTCCCTTTAAGCGTCCATAATGACTCCTGTCCACCTGGGAGCTTTGAGTGTTCCTACCTATCTTTGCATGTTCTAGCTCCTCATTTTAGTATTCTCTATGAAGTCAGTATACAGGTGAAACTCGAATAATTAGAATATCGTGCAAAAGTAATTGCAGTAAGTGCTGCAAAAGGGGCCCAAACCAAGTACTGAGTACATATGCATGCTTGTACTTTTCAGAGGTCCGATATTGTTCTATGTACAATCCTTGTTTTATTGATTGCATGTAATAATCTACTATTTTGAGGTTGTGGATTTGGGGTCCTTGGGGTTCTCATGAGCTGTAAGCCATAATCATCACAATTATGACAAATCACGGCTTGAACTATCTTGCTTTGCATGTAATGAGTCTATCTCATATATTAGATTCACCTTTTAAGTTGCATTAGTGAAATAAATGAACTTTGCAAGATATTCTAATTATTCGAGTTTCACCTGTATAGTAGTTTTCTATGTTATCACCCTTTCCTCCTGAAAGTTTAGTCACAGTGTTAAGGTGGCCATACACTTTACAACCATCGCAAGACCTTAGTCTTGCGATTATCATGCTAAAAACCAGCCGTAAATCGTACGATTCTCGGCTGGTTTTCTAGCATGCTCCTTAGACAAAAGACGTGCGACCGTACAGTAAAAATGGTCGCACGCCTTCCATACACTTTGCGATTATCGTATGACCGCGGGATTTCCCGGATAATCGCACAGTGTATGGGCACCTTTAGACTGTTGGCACTCTGCAAAGCAATAAAGCTTGATTGGCTGACACAGAAGCTCTTAATTTTTGTCAGTCTGAGTTCTGTTGTTCCGGACATTATAGGCATTTTATATAAAGGAAGATTTTTTTACTGCCGTATCCCCATTATAAAGGATTTACTTGCTATTTGTCCTGGTGAGCGTTATTATTGAAAAAAGTAAAAGAAAATCCCAGATTTTGGGTTGTCATTAAAACAGGAATAGATGGGAAATCTTCCTATGGGGACACTAGTTCTGGGAACCCAGCAAACCACCAAGGGTTTCCCTCTCTTTATAGTGATTTCCTATCACTTCCCATCACTGTTGTGGCTATCGGACAGGAAGTGAAGCGAAATCTCCCCATCGGGGCACAGATGACAAAATGCTGAAAAGTTATAACCCTCCCTTACGCTATCCAAAAATAAAAAAAAGAATTGGCTTCAGTTCTACTTTAAATTAAATGAATGGTGTGGCCTAATGTAGGATGCACAGATGCAGAACACACATAAAGTCAAAGTGCTGACTACTGGGGTACAGTTGGAAATGCTGACATGTCCCCTCCAACCCCAAAACACTGGGAGCCAGCTAGGATGTGATCCAGTTCGTTCCAGAAGTGGTGTAAACCTGCCCTAAAGGATCCCACAGAAACAAAGTACACTACTGTTCTAACCCTGTATAAACTGGCCTAAGGGGCCTGAAATTTCAAGACCATTAAGGAACTTAGAGGGTCACCCAAGACTGGTTGTTATCTTCGTCCCTGTTTTTACAAACTTACAGTAAAACGCTAGGCCAATGCTGTATTTAGTCCTTTGTTATCCATCTAGGCAACAAAGGACTTGCTGAGCTGGACGATGAGCAATGTCTTGCAGGCTTGGCTCGTCTGCTATATATTGACGAATGGAGCTGTCACACGCACAGTAGGTAAGTATACTCAAAGGCATCAGTGCGCATAGGTAGGAGTTTTTCCATCACCACTGCCCATTTGCGCTCTTAACCACTTCGTCTATGGATAACGGCACCTTTTATCCATGACCAATGTGTGAACATGGTCATGGAAAAGTCCAGCGGAGGGCAACCAAACTAATTAGCGGTATGGAGGACCAGAGCTACGAGACAAGGCTACTAAATTTAAACATGTTCACATTGGAGGTGAGGAGATTAAGGGGGGATATGATTTCCATGTACAAAATGTTCAATGGTGGCAGCAACATTAGCGATAAACTGTTTAAAATTAACTCCATTACAAAAACTAGAGGCCACCACCTAAAATTGGTGGAAAAAAAATTCCAGCACAAGGGGCGAAGGGGGTTCTTCACAGTAAGATCAGTTAGGGTCTGGAACTCACTGCCACAGACAGTGATTTCAGCAAAGAATGTGGAATTGTTCAAGAAACTTTTGGACGATTTCTTAAGGGACCGTAATATACAGGGGTACAGGTACTCCTAGAATGAGATCCTAATAGGTTGGACTTGATGGACTAATGTCTTTATTCAACCTCAAATACTATGTAACTATGTAACTATGTAACATGTTTGCAAATGGCAGGTAATGAGCTGCATCTGCAAGACCTGACCCATCACCCATATAAGCAAGGCCAAGCGCAACCTGCTAATGGTCCTGGTATTATACAATGTCTTCATGAAGTCTATGCCTAATAAACCTATATCTCAGAATATATTTATGGATAAAAGTATCCCAAATATTTATTTCCATGTTATCTTATATTAAGACAATATGATGCCTGCTGTTTTATTCACCTGGGATTGTCAGTAGAAGGGTGCAACTGGACAATTGTTTGCTATTTCTTGCTACAGTTACCTTTTACTGACTCTCATAAAATTCATGGTGGACTGAGGAGGGCAGTGAATCCAGTAACAGCAGACACCTGTGAGGTTGAAAATACCAGATTTTATGTTACACACATTTTATGTTTCAGACACAAGCTGTGGTATATTTTGAGTTTTTCAGATACCTATCCTGGTGATTTAAATACAGTAGAATCGGCTCTCTGCCTTAAGCCGCTTCTCTCCACTGTCAAATGACAGTGGGGTAAAAGCTTATGTGGCTGCAGACGGCCAAGGGAGGACATACTGGTACATCCTCCCAGAACTTGGGACTGCATACCAGCCGTAACTGTGCAGTGGCTTGTATGCAGGTGGTTTTATAATACAGCAAGATCTTCTTCCTGCAAGCTGGCTGTGAATGGAAGCAGCGGACTGATGTGCTTATCTCTGTCACTCTGCTCTGCTCTTCCTATCAGTATGTTCCTATTGTGAGCACACAGTACAATTGATGGATTCCTTGTGCTGCTTCTCCTCTCCTAGTCTGAGCTTTGCCATACAGTGGACTGCAAGAGGGTGATAAGTCAAAATCAGGTTTTTGCATGCTTGCATGTAAAAAACTATATGCTGTATTAATGAATTCAGAGATGCATTAATTCTACTGTTTTATATTTGTCTGGAGTTCAGTGGTTGTGCTATTCCACAAAATTGGATTTTGTTAATAATATCTTCTTTCTGTCCCTAGGTTTGCCTACATGGTTGCAACAGTCCTTCTCTGCGTCCTTGTACGAAAACTGCATTTGTTACCTGTGGAAGGTCAAGTGATGGAGACCAAATTTGAGCTAGTGACTTCTCCTAAAGAAGAAGCCTGGATCACTGTGTCGAAAAGAAGCTAAGCCAACAAGTCAGTGGGCTTACTTCATGGTCAGCTGAGGAGGTCAAGAACAACTGTCCATGCTTCTCCAGCAGATATAGGTTGAAATATCAGCTACATTGTTTGCCCTTAATTAGTCTGTTGTAAGGAACTTTGTTTGCATGGTAAAATGAGTGCACTGTGAGAACAGTGGAAACAGTGTTAATGCAGACAAAGCTGATTTTTCCTGATCTGCCCACATTTTCTAGATCACTGACCAAACCCTTTTAATATGTGTGCCCAGAAATGGCGTTACAACCTTGTCCCAGAATGAATGATTTTCCAATTTATTGGTATAAAGCAATGTTTATTAATGATGTCACTGCCATTTTACGTCTAGATCCAGATGGAAACCTTTTGTGTAACATATCTTATTATCTCAGATGATCCGTGTATTGTTTTGTAGGTTCGAATTTGTATCCAGGAAGGGCACTTTTTCACTTGGCTCTTACCGTTCTTCAGTGTGCGCCTTGCTGCACTAAATGTGGCAGAAAATATGATCACCTAACATTACAAGCATTATACAAACATTACAAGCATTATGCCATTTGTGCCAAGCTGGAAATACTGGATCTACCTTTTGATGCAGCTCTGAAGCTGTCACCCTTTACTTTCTTTAGTGCTTGGTGATCCACTGATCTAGTATGAGGATGCACATATCAAGAGTTCCAGTATATTTCACTAGCTTTTCCACTGAAATAGTGGGACATCTGAATTGCAGACGTTTACTTTGAGAGGTATGTCACCGTAAGAAGTGAAGCAAGTATTAGGATGACCACTACAGAGCCAGCACCTTTTAAGTTAAAAATTGCAGCTCCCATAGTTCTAACTCCCTTTTTAGGGCCAATTTTCACCCCTGCAGTGTGCTGTGGGAGCGCATGTTAACACACGTGTGTTGTGATTCATATTCAGTTTCACCCCAATGCAATACTTAGCCCACCACAACACACAGGAATGCACTGCTGTCTATTGTGGTGCGGGGCATCAGTGCATTTTTGTGTTCCTGTTCTGGTGCATCGGGATTGAATGGTTAAAAAAATATTGGTCTGAATGGGAGCTTATTGTATTTTAAAATCTATATAATAAAGCTCACAATCAATGGTAGACCTTCTACTTGATTTTGACCCCCCCATGCTTCAGCCATTGAGTGCCTGATGTTGTCATGATATTTATTCCTGATTTCATGCAACTCTTTCCCAATGAAAGGTTGAGTTTGTCTTTTGGCTCAGAAATAGAAAGCAGCAAGCAGCCTGCATCGAGGTCCCTTATCTGTATTCAAGGAAATCCTGAGGAGCACCCAAGTAGACTGTAAAGAACATCATGGCCTATTTGTGTTCTGGCTTTGGCAGAGTATCCATCTTCCATTCCTGACCGTGTACGCAAGATTCTTGTATTCTTATAATGTCTATCATTAGAGATCTCCAGCCTCTTTTCTTTCTGAACCAAAACATGAATGGAGAAGACGCAATACCAATCTCTGCTTTCCTTACATTTGGACGGATGTGGTCCTATTTTAAAGTCGCATTAAACTCTCAACCTTTTTTTCAATAATGAATCCAGATGAAACAAATATATAGTATCCAGCAAAGTATTTTTTAACATTTTTGTCCATGCACTTAGTCACCATATTTCCATACAGCTGGCTCCATCTCTCTCAATTCAGCTTCCCTGAACTCCCTGTCCAGTTCAAGATCACAAGGGGCAGAGCAGTCTCTAGAAGTTCTCCATATATTCGTTTGGAAAGGGGAAAAGTCTGGAGGAAGGAAAGAGGAGAGGGGAGCAATGAGGAGGGGAGAGGCTTGCCTTGCTGTACCTGCGGGTTTCTGGGGACACACACAGCTTACTAGCACACGCAAGGGTGGCTCCATAGGACCCTGCAATGGAAAGGAGGCACCATAAAACAAGATATCAGGGCCAGTGCTCAGGGGACCAGCTGATTCTGCAGGAAACTAAAACTTTTAAACATCAAGGAGCAGTTTCTGTCTGTTGTAAGTGATATAATCTGCATTTGAAATGGCTTAAAAACATTTTGTCTTTTAATATCCCTTCAATTAGGCAGAACAACTGCATTCCATTGGGCCATGTTCTTTGAAAGTGTTACCTTTGTGCTGTAACGCACATAAACACTTTGGGAAAGCTTATCTGCTTCTCAGGCAAATCCATAACATCTGTGACCAGCTTAGGTTTTCCTCAACGGCCTTTTGCTTGAACATTCAATTGGCAAGCCATCAATGAGGAGTGACCTGCATTACGTAGGAGTGAAGTGCATAATGAATCTAACAAAGGCAGCTGCATTATTGCCATATACCATATTGACATGTTTTCTTCCTTTTATTAGGTGCAACTGGCCTTTCACTGTACATTATGTTGCTGTTGACATGTATCAGTCAATAGGAATGATGTCTTTGTCAGTTATAAATGATACACCTACTGTGCCTTTTTTAGATATTGTCATCTTTGTAATTGTCACTGCCATGTAAATGAATTTTTATCTATGAACAAAATGATTGTGAACAATATATAATGTAACAAAAGTAAACTGTTATTGCATGTTTTTGTACATGTTTGGGAAGGGGATGTGATATGAACACAATACTTGGCATCTGACTACTTCATATAGTGTGTGTCTCTTAACATCCTTCTAAAAGAAGCTTGCTATTAAGATTCTCTGCGCTGTTAATAATATACTCTCGTGTTCCTGGGGGGGATGTGTCACACCTTCTGCTTTTTATCACAGAATATTCTAGCACATCTATTCACTGCTAACCAATGTAGTATATGCAGTGTTATAGTTACTCTGCAAGGCTTATACAGGGATTTAAAGTGACAACAAAACTCAGGAGGTAAATCTTAAAAATGCATTTCAAGTATCTTACCTATTAACAAAAAATGTATCTTATTTGTGTATCACTCAGCTGTAGATCCTCAAATCATCTCTGAATTGGTGCTGACACTGTCCTTCCTTCTGGAGGGTGGCTACTTTGTTCCCCATGGTCCCTGTGTGTGTTGTAAAGTAGCCACCGCTCCAAGCTCGCTCCCGTGAAAGACTACAATCTCAATACAAATTAGTAGACCAAACGTAAGATTGTATACACAAATAGGCTATATTTTTGTAAACAGTTAAGGTACTTGAATGCCATTCTGAGATCCAATCTCTGAATTTAGTGGCTTTCGCATTGTAGATGACTATTCAGAAATATATTCTTTTCATTCATACATTATACAGTTTCCTTTCCCACAAAGCTTTTATTAAGTAGCTCCCCAAGACACAGCCTGGTGATTTGTCTATGTCTTGCACTTTTATCATGCATACTATAGTACAAAGAAAATACAAAGCATGGGAAAATGTCAAGACATATGTCCAGTAGTTCAAATCGGGGGCGGACTGACCATTCTGGCCTGTGTGCGTGTTGTAAAGAAGCCGCCGCTTCAAGCTCGCTCCCGTGATGAACCAGGACACTATCTGCAAGGAGTTTGCATGTTTTCTGTTTTCAAGTGCTTCCTATTGAGTATATGGGGCCAAAACGAGCTGAGATCTGACAAAAAGAAGCTCATGTACTTTTTCCGGTGACAGGCGTTTTGCTTATTGCAACAAAATGTTTAGGTGTGCACAGAGGCCATATGAATGGGATTTTTGGTCAGGCTGAATCCTCTGCGAGAATACGCTCAGTGTGAACCAAGCCTTAGGCAGTTTACTTTAAGCAAATTATTATAATGGAGAAGAGGATGGGGAAAGCTATTTGAATTACCTTAAACTTACCTATCCACTATAATGGGATGTGCGGGG